ACACACACACACACACACACACACACACACACACACACACACACACACAAGCATGAAAAAATGCCTGTTAATGTCCTCCTTGCCTAATCCAGAGAGAGGCATATGCTTTAATTTGAAAACCACATTAGTTACAGCTTGTCACACAAGCAAAGAGGGCTCCTGAAGAGAATTAAAAATATCAAAATGCTTTCCGCTTTACGAAACTCCCTCTAATTGTACCCAGTTACAATTAGCTCAATTCATTTAGCATGATTAGTTCAATATTTAATACAAAAAGTTATTTGCTCATGCAGCTGAGAACAGGAAGAAAAAGAAAAAAAAAAACAGTATTGCACTTTAATTCACCATCCTGAGCATGCTCTCTGTGAGTGGAAGTGGCACTCTGAGAACCTGTTCATAATTCTAGCACAAGCTCAAACTTGGGCTAATATTCAATTACAAGGGATTAGTTGAGGGGGAGAAAAAAAAAAAAGTCCACATCTTAACAGGCTCACACAGTTAAAGTCGATTCCACGGATATGCTAGGGAAAAGAAATCCAGCATTAGCGGTACACTTTGGGATTAACACTAACATGCCTTAGCAAAGATTTGTCAGAAACACAAAGAGAAGGCACTAATATGACAAACACTTTTAGCAGTACAATTGTACCATACTTTATTGACCCCCATGCAAAAGAGGATGGCAATGAAAGGAGGGGGAATTACTTTAAAGCTCCTTCTGGAGGAATATAAGCTGAAAAGCTTCTATTATATCGTATAGCCTTTGGCCTTTAGGGAGTATTTGAGGGAACCATGATGGAACTCATCACTGTTTTATGTATTCATATTGCATGATCACTATTAAGAGAACAAATGCTGATGTAGTTGTGCATTTGTTCTACAACAAGTATTCTTTTTATTTTCATTTACATTTTGTAACATCTACCTACACAATGCCTATATGATAATTATCAAGCACTGTGTGCCTTTATGCACTTCATCAACCTATATCTCAGACAAGCCAATTTGCTAAAAGATGCAGTAAAATGTACAAGAACACACATTAAGAAAATTATGCGGCTGATAAAAAAAAAAAAAAAAAATCAAGTATTCACTTTAACTCCTTTCATAGTTATATTCGAGAAGATTTGTATTTTTTTGCGTAGTGTCATGAATCATTGGCCTTACACTTACAAAGAAAATGACAATAAACAATGTTTTAAAATAAGTTACCTTTTCAAGTCCATCCTCCTTCAGGCTGACGATATCCAGGTCAAAGTCTGTGCGCAGACCAGTTGTTTTGTTAAAGGACAATCTTCCAGTCAATCCGTCCCAGTGAGACTAAAAGAAAACAATTGTACATCCATTTCTTTAAAAATTCTTATCAACCCCATTTTAAACATCGTAGAACCATCTAAACCCTTGACAAGTCTAATTATCTTACAACAAATTGCATCTGTTAACCTGCAGCATATAATCTCCAGTCCCTGCTTTAGATTGCATCAAATGTTAATGTACCTTGCAAGAATGGTCAGGACATTGACCCAAAGCTGTTGCACGACACATTTCATTCTATTTTTATCTGTACATACAGCACATAAATGCAATAAACAAATAAGTACACAGAAATCTTTAAATCCTGCTAACAAATGGCACTTTATCTTTCAACTGCAAGCTAATTCACTCCCACACACACACATAAATCAAAAGTACAAACACAAACTGTACAAGCTGCATTTCCTTTTTCTAATTACATTTTACATCTCGACGCCTCCAACGCATTTCCCCTCCAGACTACGGAGTTAATTAACAGCCATCTCCTTTTGCTTGATTCCCCACGAGGGGGGGGGGGAACACAACTGCCCCTTATTATGATTCCCTGATACCCACCACCTCCACAGATGACTGCAGGTGCGAACATGGCAGGTTGTGCTACATATCTGTTCCTCTCAAGCTTAAAGAGGCAGCCATGTGGAAGGACTGATGATACTGACTACTCATTGTCATTGCCCTTGCATTTGCATGTTTATTTGTTACGAGGGAATCCTCATTTAAAAAAAAAAATGCTATTCAAAGACTGTTTTCATATCTTCTGCTTTTGTCTGAACAAATTGGTTTTTAATTAGGCTTCAGTGTCACTTTTATCCAGCCACAGTCATTGATGTACACAAGAGGTCTTGATACAATAAAACAGTCAGTCATTTTGTGTTACTGATATTTAAAACTCAGGCTATGACACCGCAGCAACTTATTGCTCTCACCCATAGCTTTCAGGAACTTGTGTTGCAAAAAAAAAATCAAATAAATAATCGAAGCTTTAAGGAGAAATCTGTGGCATTCTATTTTTTAAAACCCTTCCATACCTCATTCCCTCTGGCCTATTGCCATTGAGGTGGGAGGCATATTCAAACAGCTTTAATTCAGAGAATGACATATTCTTTGCCTCAGCCATTTCACATCCGCAGGGCCAGTTCAACCTTCAGAACATGTCAGACTCCTGTACTGAAGCGAGTGTAAATCAGCACTGAGTTAATACCCAAACACTGCAAGACTCTTTTATATATTTATTTCCTTGCCTCTAGTAATGATTTATGGATTTTTTTTTCTAAATGTACTTAAAATGGCCACAAATACATATTGGTTCAAACTAATTGCCATAGATACAAGCCAGACATTGTTTGTTGTCCATTGTTATCATGTAAATTCTGCATACACAAATGGGTTTGCTTTTGGCTGAAAGCAGGATTATTTCTACAGCTGTGCTACAAACAATAGTCAATAGTCGATGGATTCTGTCCCGGATGATGAGTAGAATAATATTATGAGACATTTTGTACCAGAAATAATTTACACAATACAATTGTGTTGTTCTTATTTGAAACCTGTTACAGGAAGATTTCAGTCCAAACTAATAAATACAAACTGATGCAGAAGTATTTGAGTTCTGCTTGCCAACTTTTGAGCACCTGACTAACTGGTCGAAATACCAGCCTGGCATGACATATTGCACAAAAACGTTTTATAAAAATCAAAACTTTAGGAAAACAAGGGTTAATTTTGTAAAAATATTTTATACATTTAAAACACAGTTAGGTTTGTTGGGCTACATGTTGTGGTGGTTAGCACCAGTACTGGTCCAAGCCTCCAAGGGGCCCTCAGCAAAATTTGGTTTGGGGAGCTCTGTTTCTGCTAATAATGCAGATTACTGCAATCAACAATCAGATGATCAGATCATTCACTCACCTAACATAAACTCAATGCAACTCTGACAGCCCTGTTTACATTACCCTATATGTACTGTATATATCATCTAGTGCAGGAGTGTCAAAGTCATTTTTATTTTGAGCCACATCAATGACCTCAAAAGGCCGGACATGGCAGAATGTATTGATAAAAGTACCTATTAACAAACTGTTAAAATATAACTTTTTCTGCATTCGATAACTACTTCTAAAAAGTAAATATTTTATGATTGGGTATTTTGGCATTATACATGTAAAAACTGATTTGTATTGACTAAGTAATATTGAAGCACACAATTGTTTTACTGTTTTAACACAATTTTAATCACTTACACACAGGTTATATGAGCTCTTTTGTATCGTTTTCCTTTGTGATATATTTATATATATTTATATATGAATATGTATATATATATATATATATATATATATATATATTCACAATTTTATAATGAAATTGTGTGTAATAGAATCATATAGAAATAATTACAAAAAAAGAAAAACATCTATTCCACTTACCCCCCACCCCCCCTAGTGACCCCGGTGCCCTAAGCAGCAGCTTAGTTTGCTTATGCCTTGAACCGGCCCTGGTTAGCACCATCACCTCACAGGAAGAAAGTCTCACTTTTGGATCTTGATTAGAAGCTTTCTGGAGCTTGTTTCATGTAAACGTTTTCTTAACAAGTGTTCTTGTCTTTTGATTTTTTTATAAGAAAAAACATTTTCATTTGTGCTATTTTTCTTTGCACTTCCAAGAATCTGGAAGGAAGGTATCAGTAAATACAATAAACTGTATTCATAAAAAAAAAAAACTGTTTGCTCTTAATTACCTCTTTGAAACAAGTGCAGGCCAGGCAGAGGAACATATTACAAAAAAAGTTGTTTTATGTCTTTTGTTTAAGTTCTCTTTTGACATTTAAAGGCAGCTGGCTTTACTTTAATTTTAGCTCTGGGGCCAGTTGTGAAACGGACAATAACTCTGCTTGGATTTTCTCACTGTTGTTGTGATGAAATTTGAAGGAGAACCCTTCTAGAAACAGGTCATAAATGGTAACAGGGTGTTTTACACCATCTCGTATAAAAGAGCAGCAGGTGATGGTCACCTATGGAGACCCAGTACAAAATGCAGGAAACTGTTTTCCTAAAATAGGATTAGCTTTCATCATATCCAGCATGTAGGAATCCTTATTGGAGACTAAAAAAAACCCACCAAACTGATAATCTTTAAGACGTTAATGATTTCATTTGAAGAAAAAAGGAGTGGAGTTCCTTCCATTTGTAGCGTCTGAACAAAACCCAACAGAAGCACAAATGATTTGTTAAAACATCAAGCCACAAATAGCAGCAGCCTTCTCTATCTGCCATTTTGCAAAGGCTGTTAAAAATCATTCTCAGGCACTGTCAGCCACTCACGTTAGATGAAATGAAAGATGATTACAGAGGTTCTGCTTCCAAAAGGTTACAATACAGGCTTTCTGGAAAAATAGGTTACGAATACAGGGGATTTGAAAAGCTGACAAAATGCTGCTTTGATGTGCGTATCAAGTCGAGGTTCACTTTCCATGTGGATATGATTGATTTGTTGAGTAAATATTTAAATATAAATTGACTGCCTTGCCCTCAGCTGCACTTCTGTGCTCTCTTTTACCGCACATTCAGTTTAATCAAACAACAAGAGGCCAAAGGTGCCCCCTCACCTCTTTGATGAAACTCATGAAGCGCCCTCCAAACCTCCAGGGTTTGTGACGGTGGCACTGGAGTGAGTTCACAGTCATCTGTGGAGCGTGCTGGTACGAGACAGACACAATGTGGACTGCATCATAGGTCAGAGCTGCATCTGTCTGGAATAAGGGGGAACATTATTTCAGCTGGTGCCTGCAGGATAAAAGGGAAACTTTCTGCTGTCACAATTCTACTAGACTATGTTCATGTTAAAGTTTCACAATGTAATGTGTAGAAATAAATACGAGAGCATGTGAAACTGTTCCAACAATGTTCAGTCAGGTCATCTGGATGGGTTCTTTTTTTGTTGTTGTTGAGACGTTTTGTCCATCATCCAAAGGACTTCTTCAGTCCGAGGCGCCACAACAAACATTGTCCCAAAATCAGCACACTCTGTGCTGTGAAATTGTTCTAACATAAGAGCATTATGTTTTCTTTTTAATAATTTTAGTAATATTTAATTTAATGTGGCTGTCATGTCAGAACTTTATTGTGCATCATGCTTTTTTTTTAACTCTTTCAAGCCTAAATCTTTGAAATTTATAAATGCAATTTAAATTTATTGAGTTCAGAAACCTAGATGTGTTCAGGATAGAGTTGTCATTGATAATGAGCCCGGCCCAACCCGACCCGAATTCGGACTGGGCGAGGCCATAATAATGTGCTTAATGTGCGGACCAGGTTGGTGTCGGGCTTTTTATTATGTCAAGGACGTGTGCGGCCAACAATCCAATTATATGCAAACATGGCTTGCCATATTGCATGCGGCCATTTCACTGTGTGCTCACTGCCAGTTGAAAGAGGTAAAAAGTTCAGTTAATCTTCAGATGGACTACAGCCAGCGATCCATCAGCCCAAATGGATGTTCAACCATCTGCTGCACTCGGCGGACACGCACGGCCGACGACCCAAGCAGGTGAGATCACAAAATATCTGACATGTCAGAGCAGGGTCCAATATACACAGAGGCAGGGGAAGCAGTTGATGCGCTTTGATGGCTCCTCAGCTCCGATATTCTGCACCCTTTGCTCAGCCACGTGTCCACCAACTGTTAATAATAGTCTTATAAGCAGTCAAAGCTTAATTAAAATGTCCCGGGGGGTGGGGGGTGGGTGGGGGGTGGGGGGTGGACAATTACTGTTAATTTGTCGGATTGGGTGGGGTTCAGAGATGATGGCTGTGGGCTGGGGCTGATTTTTTGGACCCAGGTGCAACTCTAGTTCAGGGTATCTTGTGTGCTTTGTAACTTTTCTTGTCTATCCTATATTACAGAATACAAAAACATGGAAGTGAAAGGAAAATCTAAATGTCATGTGATGAACATTCTGCAAGTAAAGGAAGATTCATTTTACTGAAGTGTACAAAGAGAGCAGGCATTTTGTAATAAAAATCACTAGAAACATTTACATCTACTTGATGACTAACGAAAGTTAAGGAACTAAGCTTTTAAACGTTTCACTATCACTGTTTTGAATATATGCATCATAAATATGGCAGCACGACGGCTCAGCGGTTTGCACTGTTGCCCCACAGCAAGAAGGTCCTGGGTTCAATACCCAGTTGGACCTGGAATCTTTGTGTGGAGTTTGCATGTTCTTCTCGTGCATGCGTGGGTTTTCTTCGGGTACTCATGTTTCCTCCCACAGACCAAAAACATGCATATTAGGCTGCCTTCAGGCCCAGGCCTCCCTTGCAAAAGAGATCCGTATCTCTGTGAGATTTACCTGGTTAAATAAAGGTTAATAATATTCATTAGTCCAACCAATATACGTAGGAGCTTCCTATCAACATGTCTAGAAGCAGACATACTTGAAATCAGGCAAGTTTTTTTTAAACCATCTGTCATGTTTACAAATCTTTGAGTAGCACAGAGTAAATGAATGTTACTTCTTCTGTATGATCCCTTTGGGAAATCTTTTAAGTTTACACAAAAAATGCAGCATTTCTGTTTTTTCATTCAACCTTTATTTATACAGGTAAGTCTCACTGAGCCTTGAGGACTTATTTAACTTGACTATTTTGTGATTTCTAGATTCTGAAACCAAAACCCAGAAACCATCTTATCACCAGCAAACTGGTCGGTTCACTATGGGAGTGTGCTGCTGGTGGGACTGAGCTTGTTGAAGTCCTTTGGATGAAGGACGAAACGTCTCAACAACAAGAAAAACAACAAAAAAAGAAACCATCCAGATGACCTGACTGAACTTTGCTGGAAATGGTCAAGCACTTTTAATCTCAGTTCAACATATGTGCATGAGTATGAAGTCCAGAAGTCAGTCAGAATGTTCCCACCAAGTTGTTGTACTTATTACTGGACCATAATCTGTACAAATATTCACAGATTTATATTCCTTTACAGTGAAGATTTCATGACAAATATTTAAGACAAACTGCTTCATAATTGTTTTTTTAAATTCACAATAACACCTTTTTTTTTTTTTTATATTATCATTACCGTCATGATTCCCTCCAGCAGGCCTGAGTCAGGTTTCGGTGGAATCTGCCTTTCCATTGACCATTTCTCCACAATTGATGCAACCTGAGGATTATCAACGTTGAGGATGCGGAAGCCGGTCATGTTCACACCGCAAAAGCGATAAGGCTCAAGGTCAATGGCCATCAGGTCCTTTTAAAAGAAAAAGAAATGTGAGATACAGTAGATTCCTGTTGAATAGCAAACCACTGAACATCTTTCACTCAAGCATATAATCTATCCAGATTATTTCTGCCAATATAAAAATAGATTAGGTCTGCAGCTGATGAACAAATAAATGTATTATGATCAAATGAAGGAAACTGAAATATGTGCAGTTATTTATTTTACTTTGCACTAAAATAGTCACCAAATTGTTCCTAAGATATGGAAATGGTCTGAAAAACTAAAAAATGTATATTAAATATTTTATGTACAACAACAACAACAACAACAACAACAACAACAACAACAACGACAACAACGACAACAACGACAACAACAACAACAACAACAACAAATGCTCAAGCAAAGGTGATCTATTTTGCCTTGATTAATCACATTCATGAAAATCAAATAAATAATCTCTGGATGCATTTTATAGGGAGGGGACATATTATAATTATAAATGGTATTCAAAAACAAAAAAAGCTTGTTTTGTGGCATCAAATTAATAATTCAACGTTTGCACTGCCTTGGCATCGTCCAAGTAAAAAAGCAATTCAATTTGAGCCACTGTAATTTCTGGGGCACAGATTGCAGCTGAAGTGTGAAGTCACATGTTGACACATGTCGGGTAAAATTGGACCCGGGGGGTTGAAAAAAAGACATTTGGATGAACATAGATATTTCATTAGCACCCTGTGGGGTTTGTGCTGGGGGAGCAAGAGCATGCAAGACATTCACTGAAGAATGGTCATTGATATTCAGTGACAAAAAAAAAAAAAAAATCTATTTTGTGATGCTGCAGTTCTTTCACAATAAAGCAGGAAAGGAAATCACAACTGTTTTAAAATGACAGATTAGAGGGTTTTTATACAGTATTTGTTGCTAAAAATGCAAACTAACTGACAGCATTTTAATGTAAAATATATATATATGTATTTTTTTATTATTTTTTTAAATCGTCATATTTGTTGTTTGTTTTGTATGACAAATGTTAGAAAACTAGAACAGTCCTAATTTGTTTTAGGTGGAGTTGACTTGCACTCACATGTAGCAAAACTCGATATGTTCCTACAATTTTATTACACTCAAATGTTCACCGGGAAAACACGGTGCACATCTCTGATGGCACGTATAAGCGTTATGGAGGGGCTAACATAACTAAGTTCTCAGTTTAAGGTTCTCATAGATAGCTACTAGAAGACGGGAGCGATGACAGACTCATTTCAAAGGACATGGAAGTTATTACCCTCGTACCACTGTGTCGTTGCCTTTTCACGCTCTAATAAGTCGGCACTTCCCTCACCTCAGAAGATAAAACACAGACATCAGTGAATTCCATCGAGAGGAAATTGTATTGCCATGTACACCATGCAAGTATTCATTACTTTGGATCAAATCAAGCCGCCAGGTATAATCTCCTTAATGGTATGTCTATCAATAAGACAGCATATTGCAGCTTTAGATGGATACAACACTGATTCTATAAAGATATCCCGACTTCGTGGGAAAGATATTGTTGCAGGACAAAGTTGATTCTCTGATAAGGATTTTGCTGAACAAACAGTTTGGAAGCAGTTAAATGCACAAATTGGGGGTGCAGCTACATAAAGAAAATTTAGATGTCCGCATTAAAAGAGAGTACGTGCTGCATAAAAGATGACACATGACAGAACAATGTCGGTGCTGTCAAGGGTGAAAAATGACACATGATATCTGGACCTCAATGTCAGAACGCATCATCACAACAGACTGGCCAAGTCTGCGGAGACGGCGAGTGTGAGTACACAAGAGGCAGAGACGGTAACAGAGGGTGAAAGGAACAGCACAGAGCATGCTGGTGTTTATTCCCCTTCTGTCTGCTTGTCACTGTGCAGCCAGGGTCACAGCAGCACGGGCTACCTGCTAGGTCAGAAGTACTGATCTTCAAATAGTCAATGTAACCACCACCTAATCAGCTGCTTTGACCGTGTTCGATCAATAAAGTATTTTAAAGCTGAAATCGTTTCAACCGTATTTTGACAAAACTGACTTTACAAAATACTGTTTTGTTCAACGTTTAGTCATTTTTCTTTTTGGACTTTGTATCCACCTGCGATGCTGAGATCTGCTCGACTCGAACATCACAAACGGTTTGCTTTTTAATTGGATTTCTCCATATTTAACACTTTAGTAAACATTTCCCCCAAGCAAAATTGTAAGTGGGATTGACTCAAAGTAAACAGCAGTGTTTAAATCACTTAGCTGATACAAACATGTGACGACTGTGTGTTTACAAGGCATTGTGCTCATATTTAACTGAACTGCTGAAGTGCATTTGACAAAAAATGATGACCACAAGGCATATTTAACTAAATTTATTCACATAATTAGTGTTTTTGGTTATGTGCACACAATTTAAGTTTGTTCTTTAATATTAGTAACATTGTATGAAACTGCAGGAAGTAATATTTATATACTTTAAGTCGTGGCACCTATAGGCTATAAATTAACTGTAAAAACACCTGGACCTGTCATTCTATGTTTGTTTCTCCTTCCTGTCCTCTCAAACCCCAGCTGGTCCAAGCAGATGGTTGCTCGCCCTGAGCTTGGTTCTGCTAAAAAGGAGCTTTTCCTTTCCACTGCTGCCTTGGTGCTTGTTCAGGATGGGAGATGAAGTGAAGATTCAACACAATCTGCTGGCAACTTTAGATAAATAGCTTATTAAGTGACTTTTATAATGCATGTGAATGTTTTTGTTCAGTGCCCTGAGACAACTTCTGTTGTGACTTCAGGGCTCAGTGCTTGGACCAGTACTCTTTACCTTATATATGATTCCATTAGGTAATGTTATTAAACAGCATGGGATACATTTTCATTGTTATGCTGACGATACAGTTATATTTGTCCATGAAACCTAATTAATCCAATCAGCTACTTAGACAACAAGCATGTCTTAAAGACATAAAAAAAAAAATAAAAAAAAACTTAAAAAAACTGGATGACCCTAGATTTTCTGCTTTTGAACACAGACAAGACTGAGGTTTTAGTTGTTGGACCTGAGCATCTTAGGAATTAAATTTTCAGTCTTTTGCCCTCCTAGGATGGCATTAATCTGGCCCCCAGCTCTAATGTTAAAAATCTTGGTGTTATTTTGATCAGGACATGTCTTTTATCCCCCACATTAAAAACATTACTACAAAGGAGAACCACCTTCTTCCATCTGTGTAATATCACTAAAATTAGAAATGTCTCATCTAAAAATGATGCAGAAAAACTGGTTCCTGCATTTGTCACATTTAGACTGGACTATTGCGATGATTTGTTATCTGGGTGTCCAAATACTTCTTTAAAATGTCTTCAGTTGATCCAAAATGCTGCTGCTGAGTCTTAACTGGAGTTAGTAGAAGAGATCATATCTCTCCAGTTTTAGCTTCTCTCCATTGGCTCCCTGTCAAATCCCGAATTTAATTCAAAATCTTACTTCTAACCTGCAAAGCTCTCAACAACCTAGCTCCAGCTCATAATACAGATCTTATTGTTCCATATTTTCCTAACAGAGCACTTAGCTCTGAGATTGCAGGTTTACTTACGGTTCCTAGAGTTTCCAAAAGCAACATTGTATGAAACTACAGGAAGTAATATTATGTATTTTATTACTTGGTTTAAGTCTGTGGCACCTATAGGCTGTACGATATTTCAGTTATCAGGCTCCTCTCTTGTGGAACCAACTTCCAGTTTCTGTCCATAGGACTGACACATTGTCCAGTTTTAAGACTGGGCTTAAGACTTTCCTTTGTAATAAATCCTATAGTTAGGATTTTTTTTTTTTTAGCTTGTTTAGCTTGCTATAGGCTTAGACTACTAGAGGACAAATTGACCTAATTTCTTTAAAGGAATTGTTAAAATTTAATAATTTTCATTTCATACTATTCTATGTCAACATGTGATTCTTGACCTGCCATTGTGTATCTGTTCCTTCTTCCTGTTCCTCTTTAACCCAGCCGGTCGAAGCAGATGACCGCTTGCCCTGAACCAAGTTCTGCTAAAGGTTTCTTTTACATGAAAGAGTTTTTCCTTTCCACTGTTTCCTTCGTGTTTGCTCAAGATGAGTTTTGCAATGGAGTTAAATTTGAAAGCGGTCTACTCCTCAGATAAATAGTGTTAACTTATTATTTTTATATATCAATATTTCTGTTCAGTGCCCTGAGATGACATCTGTTGTAACCAACTGAAAATTGCCTTGGTGATATATAAATAAACTGAATTTAATTTAATTAATATTTATTCAGAATAAGCTTATTAGTTACATCATTGTGAACTGTATATTTAGAGAACTGCTGATCAGTAAAACGTTGCGCCTGCATGTTAGGGCTGCACAAAATTACAAAAATAAGCAATTGAAAAATCAGGGATACATATTGCAATAACAATATTGGATGCAAAAATGTCATGTTATCACAGTTCCATTCTGTTTTGCTATCACTTTGCACAAAAAATAAGTTTTGTGCTTTACCATTTAGGCCACTTTTCTGTAAAGTGGCTTCAGGGCTATTCTATCCGATTCTAACTAAATGGCAAATGTATGCCGTTTAATGCAGTTTCATCTGTTTTTATAATTAACCTTTGCAATATTGATATTGCAACGATAAAAAGTGTCTCATAATTGTGCAACAATTGTGTATCCAGAAAAATGTGAGCAACAGTGATTTGCTACTGGCTTAATCTAATGATGGAATGTGAACTATATATTGTAAGAAAAAATATATATTTATTACTATAGCACTTAAAAAGATGTATACACTTTAATTTCCCTATTCTATTATTCAAACCATCAGGAAAGTCTTGAATCAATTATTTGAAAGACAATGGTAATCAGTAAGAAGACCTGTCAATGATCTGAGAGCTAGTGAATAATGATCATACATTTGTTATGTTACTGCTGGGTTTGGAGCATACTTTACATATTTAATCAATTCAAAACATTTGATTGTAATCATTTATTTTTTCTCTTGTATGTAAAAGTTCAAAATGTAATTTATTTTTAAACCTGATTTTTATATTCAGTCCATTTTGTGTGATGTCACCTCAAAGACTTCAGTTGACTTTACTATAAAGCAGTGTTACTACAGCAAAGCCGAGACTCCATTATGCCTCCAGCTTGTCAAACAAAATTGATGTTATGGACTGGATCCAAACTCCATTGGCAATTAGCCACTATTCATCAAAATCTCAAGCGGTGAGGAGATGAGAACAAACGAGACTATTTGCATTAACAAGCATGGTACATTACCAGAGTGGTGAAGATATAGTGGTAATACTCTGTCATCATCCCCATGGTCTGGGCCTGGAAGTATACAGAAATTGACGATGGGAATGAAAGGTGTAAATGAGAGACAAAAATGGAGAAAATTATCATTTTGTCATTTCAAGGCATTTTAGAATCAGTAAAGCACGTTCAAAACAATCGGTCCTAAAGAGATGCATAACGGGACTTAAAAGCAAACGGGAGATAACCCACGTTTTAATGAGCCTATTGACTAGCATGCCGTTAATTTTATGGGGGAGGATTTTGCCATCACTTGCTGATGTTCCTGAAACATATGTGGTCCAAAGAAAAGCAACAAATCATGATGCTTTTCTATGCATTTAAATGGTTTAAAAATGGCTCGGGGCATGCGATGCCCTCCCAGCAGAGACTGGAGCCTTCAATCAAGAGAACTCAGTAATCTTTGCGTCATATCCAAACGCTCCATCACTGCCACTTTTCATTCCATCTACATTCAAAGGCACATATTCCCATGGCGGCTGTGCTTTCCATTTAATTGTGCCATCTGTTGTGGGGAAAAAAAGACCCAAGGTTATGTAAATAAGATGTTAAGTTTATGTGGAGACAAAACAACCATCAAGACAAATACATGACACTGAAATGGTTTCATAGTTTTGTTATATACGCAGGTTTTGATTGATAAATTAAAGATTTCAACTGCTGAGTTGTTTTTACAGTCTATGTTCATATTTTGGTAAAACTTTTACAAATTATAATTTAATGTTTGGAAATTATGAGACATGGGACAATGAAGTATGACATTATTATTAAAAAGCTATAAAACAAGTTCCTTTATTTTTTTTTTATTTTTTTTTTTACCAGACCAATTAGAAAAAGTACAAATAAAGTTTTGCACTTGCATGTTGAATGATGGTGATGCTCTCAGGGTTAAATTCAAAACGTTATCTTGTCAAAAATCACAGCACGTTCTGAAGACTGAAAAAAGTACAAGGGCGTTACATTGTAATTGAAAGGCAACGTTCAAACCTCTAGAAAATTCAGTCAATTCACTACCATGGAAAACCAAACGAGCTGAAATGTGTCTCATCACACACAAATCAGACATCCATCTCATTTCTAGACTAAGCTTAGATAAACCATGTGGTAATTACAGTTGTCTGCATGAGGTTGTCTCAGAAGCTGCATCTGAAAAACAGACGTTTATGGGATACTAGCATGACGAACAGAACCTGCAAATCAAAAACTTTCCGTGCAGGGGAACATTTCTGGACCCGAAGGAACACAAAATCATATTTTAGCTTCTACAAGAGCACGTTTCATCCACAGGTAGGAATGTTAAAAGTAAATTCTATTTTAACCAGCACCTAAACAGTATCACCAACATTGATTCCTAATTTACTTTTACTAGCAATTGTTTTGTTAAATGCGTGAGAGTTTATGAAGCATTCACACTTTTGTGATCCATTTTTCGTCCGTATGATTTTCAACATGTTTCTCGTCCCACAGTTTTGAAGTTATTTCAACAAATATCAAAACGTTCAGCTCGTTCAGGACAATCCTGCTATGTCTTTTTGTATTGGTGCAACTTTGGCTTTTTGAAATACGTAGCTTTTTCTGCCATTTTCTCACAGAAAATGAATTGAGTTCATTTTACATCCTTCAGATTTTTAGATCTGTTTACAACCTTTTACTGCTCCTTTCACATTTTGTTCTGCTTCAGCTTCCTTGTGCAAATTTAAACTTTTTTCAGCTACTTTCAGCTAATTTCAGCATTTTTTTTTCAGCCGTTTTGTGCTCCTTTCAGGTTCTTTCTGCTAATTATAACATTTCTGTGCTTCTTCTAACTTCTTTCTGCTAAGTTCAGCTTGTTATGCTCCTTTCAGCTTGTTTCTACAAGTTTCAGCTTGTTTCTACCATTTCAATTACTATATAGTTGCTTAATGCTAATTTAAGCTTTTGCAGCTAATTTTACATATTTTTGCACTTTAACTTTTTTCAGCACAATTCAGAAAAAAAAAAAAGTGCTTTCTCCACTTCTGGTGATTTCAGCTTCCGTCTGCTTTTTAGCTACTTTTCAGTTGTATTTTTTTTAGCTTTTTTTTTTCAGAAAATTACCATTTTTTGTGTTAATTTCTGCTACTTTCAGCCCAATTCCACTAATTTCAGCTTATTGTGCCACTTTCAGCCTTTTTCTGTTAGTTTTAGATTTTTCTGCTTTTTCAGCTACTTTTTACAGTAGCTGTTTTGTGCTAAATGTACCTTTTCCAGCAAATTCCATGTTTTTCTTGTTTTTTTTTTTTTTGTTTGTTTGTTTTAGCTTATTTCAGCTCTATCCACTTCCTTCAGGTAGTTTAAGATTCTTTCTGCCTTTTCAGCCATTTTTCAGCTTTTTTGTTGTTGTTAATAATGCCATATTTTTATAGCTAATCAATCCCAACGTTTGTGCCCATTTCTGCGTATTTAAACCTAATCTGCAAATATGTGTTCTTCTACTTTGTTCTATCTTGGGCTTGTTCTTACATTTCAACTTTTTTTTTTTTAGCTATTTTCAGCTGCTTCTCAGCAACTTCATCAATAAGCTGCATTGCATTTTTTTACAGGAAATGCAATTTCTCTAGTTGTACTTTGCATCCACAAATGTGCAAATGTGTAATTAAAGGTTTAGCTCCTACAAGCAATAAACCATCATAATTATTTGCCAAAGCATTTATTAAACTATAAATATCAATATTTAAACTGCGCAAGCAGCTTGCTGCTGCCTGAAGTATTTTCCTTGCTGATTTCTTAGCAATAGAAGTGTTGTTTGGCCAGAAGCAAATATTTGTCATGTTAGATCTCAAAACCTATGGAGGACTGAGATATTTAAATAACTTTTGTGGCAGCGATGCGTTGGCTAAACATGAGGCTGACAGAAAACCAAACGTTTGAGGGGGATCCACCAGCCTGTTTTTGACATCCATACAACATCAGACCACCTACACATTCTACTTGGTCCATCATACTGACAGCTTCCTGTTGCTGACAATCATCTTTATAAAAGTCATATTTACATTCAGTTCCAATTATGAAACCAAACATGGTGGATAACAAATTCAGTTTTTGGTTTTAGGGTATAAACAATGTCAACGTGTAGGCTTTGATCTATTTTTAAAGACAAAAAAACAGATCACAGTGACACCCTGTAGAGCAACTTAAAAAAAAAAAAAGTATAATTAACTGGTTTTAGATTTAACGTTTAATGCAGGGAGCACTAATGCTTAGTTGTTAGCATGGACCATCTGGTCAGATTCCTAATCCGCATTGAGGGGATAACAAAGATCACAGCTGGGTTGCAAGCTTCTCACTGCGTCAGATTTAGTGGCGTGATGGAGAACACCAAACATGGCTGTCACACAAAGAGGTCCAGTATCTTGGTTGGCTGTGGAGAAGCTGCTACTGAGCAGCAGACTGATTCAAAATGCAGAGGAAACATTCACATTTGCCTTTATGGGTTACATAAAAAAAGGATCCACTGTCCAACAGACAACAAGCAAGTAAAGAAAATGACTGTAAATCAAATTATGGCCACGGTTTAGGGATTTGACAGCCCCATCTGACATTAGCCGGGTCCATAAACAGTTCTTGTCTCACCTGTTTCAGAATCTGTGCAGCCATGTGGTGACTACAGTCAAAGATGATGCGAAACTCCCGACTTCTCTTCATTTCTTTGAGAAGAGGTCTTGTATCCTGCGTGTCGAGAGGAAGCTGGCGGATTTTTAATCTGATGTTGTATCTTGACGGAGCCATTATCAACTCCTGCAGCCTTATTAGACCTTGTAGGAAACAGTAAAACGAAGACAAGCCATATGTAAAACATATAATGTTTGTAGGTTAACTTAACTGTATGAAGTAAAATGTATTCACCTGTGCTGTCATCGTATACAACAGTGGCTGTTTTCCATTTGAGATACTGTACAAGGTCCAAAATAGCATAGCTTAATGAAGAATAATCCGGGTATAAATTGGCATAAAAGGTGTCCCTGTTGTCCATGGGGTGATGTTTCCATCGCACCTGGATGTGCGGCACTTCCAGCGCATTGCAGATGGACTGCACAGCATTTGATGAGGAGCTATGTGAGGGCCCGAATATCGCCACCACACCTAAAGACAGCTGGTCACAAGCTAAAGGGGAGGAGAAGACAGCAGCTTAATGATAGGGTGAGTATGCTCGGCAAGAGTACAGACAAAAAAATTACAAGGTGACGAGATTTCAACACCGAAGTTCCCCATTTAGCTCGGGGGGTATGAGAACGCTGCCCTCGTTCACAGCGAGAAGACAAATTGACTAAGTCGCTCACCTTTCCTCGACGCTTCAAAGCTGTCATAGATATTAATCCTCTGTATGTCATATGTTAGTGTTGTGTTTGGCAACAAAGTCCTGTTTCTGTTAATATTGTTCACAGCGAATTTAAAGGCAAGCTCCTCAGCGCTGACGAGTGAAACAGGTCCATCCGTTTGTTCAAAAATCCCACCTGGAAAACAAAAAACAAAACAAAACAAACAAAGATGAGAACTGGTATCAAATATGATGAAAAGCTAAATGAGACATACAAATGTTTGTTTTGATAAGTAAGTGGATAAAAATGCTATAAGACATTTGCACTAGCAGTTAAAGCAGCAGTGCATGTTACATGAAATCTATCATTTACTTAGCAAACATGCAGAGACCCTTTTAATTTTCAGGGAAGACTGAAAAAAACAAACTATCAGCTTTGAAGTCTGAAACCATAAAGGATTTAAGGTGTGTGTGAGTGTGTGTGTGTGTGTGTGTTTATGCTTGTGCGTCTGCTCCATCAGGGCAGCAGGATATCTTAGGCTCTTGTCTCTCCATTAAGATATCCTTTCATTTCACCAGAATATCACGTCAGTGGAGCAGATAACTGGACTTGGGCGCTGTTTTTATTACTTTTTTTTTTTTTTTTTTTTACATAAAATTCAAAGGAAAGAAGTCTTTCATTTTTTAGATGGCATGAAGCACTGCTCAAAATGTACAAAACATTTCTATATAAACATGAAAGGAAAGTATTTCTTCAGATGGTGGTGTGTCAGACCATCAGTTAGTACTACATCTTGAAGAGCAGAGGGAAGAAAAGAAAAGGGAAAAACAACAAAAAAAAAGTGTTTTCTTTCACATTTTTGTCAGATTTTTCAGCGCTAGAACTATGAATTAAGTACATTAAAAATGTCTAGAAAACTTTTGAAATTATACAATATACTCCTCACTTTAACATAAATATCATATAAATAAAACCACAAAAATCCTTTAGCAAGAGACATGTACAGTGTTAGTATCAGTGGCAATTTTAGCCTCTTTTGGGGGTGCTCAAGAACCCCTGAATTTTAACTTGGCACCCCTGAAAAATAAAGTAAAAAAAATAATAAATAAAATTATATATATATATATATAATATTTTTTAAAATGCATTTATTTATTTATATATTATTATTATTATTATTTATTTTTTTATTTTTTTGCGGTTCTGGGGTTTGGGTTCCTTTTATCGCATTTAGGATTCAATGCAGCAAAATAAAAAAAAATTTAAAAAGGTAACAGATCATTATAATACTTGGTTTATTTGCATAATGACTTAAATTGCCGGATGTCCGACTCCTGATCTGCTGGCTTTCAGTAACTGTGGCCCCCTGAGCAGTTTATTTGAATAGCCCTGCTTTAAAGACTGGAATACAGTTTATTCCATTTCCAAAACCTAAACTGAATCTGGAAAAATGTCAAAGATGATAAAGTTCTGTGGCCGACCTCACGAGCAGCTGAATACAACAGTGATAAAAGGAAGTACCGCATGTTCATCTGTACAAAAGCTAACTAGATAAATCCTCCATTTTTGTCATAATTACATTGTACAGTGTGCTTAATGGTTAAATTAAAGGTTAATGCTTAAAGCTAGTTTTCTTTTGTTTTGTGTTTTATATGTAGATATATGTTGCAACTTCCAGTTGCATAAGTTTATTCTTTGTTTATGATCAGCTAACACTAAACTGATTTTGTGCAAAGCGTTTATTAGGTTCTGTAATGTAAAGCAGAGCGCTACGTCTGTAGCATCGTAGCTAGCGCATCTGTATTGCATGCCACTAGCTTAATGCTACTTTGCACAACTGTGCCGAGCTCGCTAAAATAGTTTTGAATCAAGTGTTTACATATGGAAGTAAATGTAGATGTTTAACAACTTGGCAAAATGCACCAGAATGCAGGGAATGACATCTACTTTATTGAACATTTTCTGGAGGAGGACTCCCAGAACTCCTCACCAGTGTCTATGGTACAAAAACTGTCCCTATTATAGAGGTGCACCAAAAACTGTATCAAAATAGCGAAAAATGTACGACACACGCTTGCAAAGTCATTGAGATTTGCTTCAAAACTAATTCAACAAACTTCAAAGGAAGTGTCAACTCAGTTTAACACTAAAATCGTCAGAGAAGCACAATTGATGTGTAATTGGTAAGATAACAAACGTAACATTTGCTGTCAAATAAAAGACAGCAAAGTCCCCCTGTGGCTTGGCAACAGACTAAGAAGACAGTTTAGACAACATCTCAAAAGACGCTTGCAGGAAAATCAGTTTTCAGAGAGACCAGCTCCTCAACCTCCACTCTCATCACATTATCTGTTCTAGCAACAAAGCAAAACGTCTCTGCCGGCTTCTGTCATAAGAAAGAAACAATAATAATAATGACTTTTGTCAAAAGTTGGAAATGTTTGTACTTAAAGTTAAGTTTTGTCCATCAGTTTAACTAAAGAGGCAACCTTAGTAAAACATTTAGAACACTTTAAAGTTTCAAACCAAATGTGTTGAAATTCCAACGTATTTCTTCTTTACAGCAAATAGGTATTTCAACAATTTCCCCATTGCTTATTGTCAAAATGTGCATACATAGCAACATGTACAACAGAAAAAAAAAAACAACTTATAAAAATGCAAGGCAGCACTGGATCCACAGAACAGTCTCAAACAGAATTATATATATGTACAGTGACACAGAGCTCTAGATAAGTTCCTTTTTTCTCAGGGAAAAAAAGACAAGAAACAAAACAACAAAGTTAAGTCAAGTCCTCTGGATGGGTTGTTTTTGTTTGTTTTTGTTGTTGAAAGGTTTTGTCCTTCATCCAAAGGACTTCATCAGTCTGACGAGCCACAACAAACTCGGTCCCACAAGCAGCGGCCAACCAGTTTGATGGTAATAAAATGGTTTCTGGAGTCCACCCTCTCCATCGACTCCTCTGAGGCAGCCATAGCCAAAGTGGTTCAAAACATCAAAGTTCATGCTCAGTAATCCAAGTAAAAAAAAAAAAAAAGTTAAATCAGGTTCTTTGAACTTTTTTTTGTTGTTGTTGTTAAATATGTTTCATCCTTCATCCAAAGGACTGCATCAGTCTGAGGAGCCACAACAAACCCAGTTCCACAAAGGAGCACACTCACATAGTGGCCAGTGGATTTTTTTTTTACTTGGATTATTGAGCATGAACTTTGAAATGTTTAGAATAATTTGCATTAACAACCTTTTTATTGTTAAAGTTATCCAGCCAAACAAAAGTTTATTTGATTTAATTCAAAATAAAGGGAGTTTTTCCACCAATGTATTGTACTGGTGAGCTCAGAACATGCTGACAAACTTTTTTTTAAATAAAAACTAGTAGCTAACAATAAACTGATGTGCAAATCAGTCTTGTTAACAAAGTTATTGTACGTATATCTTGCTATTATTTTTTTTGAAATGTCACCAAATGAATAATGATTCAATTTTTGTTGACAACTATTGAATATAGTAATCCACATTGTTACATCAAATATACCTGGGTTTTCTAAAATCAACACATTTAAACACAACACAAACACTTTTCACACTAGTCCAGCTGAGTGCTTTACTTTTCTACTTGCTCAATACTAAAAAGGCAGGTGAAAAAGTTCAACTGTGTCTGTTAGCAAAATGTGAACCAGGGGGCAGATTTTTATTGAAACTCAAAGTCATGATTAAAAGGTACAACTCAACTTTTTCAGTCAGCCCAATTCAAGATGGCCACCAGAGCCAACTGACTTTACAAAAACAGAAAAAGATGGCTACATTTCAGTCAAGTGCATCGATATTAAACTAAAATTTGTTGTGGTAAATGCGATGGACAAAGCCCTTAAAGTGCTGCCCATTGTGTGAGATCTTTGCTTAAAACATTATTACCTGCTGGAGTTCTCCCTTTATGTCAGTTAGCAAAATATCTAATGAACCACAGGATAGATTTTGTTGAAACTTTCAGAAAGTTATCATTAGATGTGTGACTATACCTGATGAAGGGCTATCCGTGTTTTGCCCAAAAACTTGTAGTAATTTGAAAATATAGTGATGCTTTGGTAATATGTGTGGAGATATAATGTAAATGTTTTATCTGTGTGCTTTGTGTTGGATTTTGTTCTCCCGTGGCCTGTCACACAAACACTGCCTGTCAGCCTGGTATTATTTCACTAATCCTAGAAAATACCTGGTTGCAGAGAGCTAAGCTTGGAAATTGTGGAAGTGACCTGCCGATGCCCCTGAACGGATCCCTGGTGCAGGGATCACAGAATCATGCACCTCTGTTGCAGTGGGGGAAGTAGCAAAATCAGGAAGCCAAGCTCATCTTACTATTTATGACTCAAAGCCTTCCTGGATGGTGGTAGGACGCGATGCATAAACCTGCCCGGTGGAATGCGTCACATTAAAATAAATGAATCCTTCCATTTCATGGGGGAAATCTCATTAGAGTACATTAAGTAATTGCTGGAGTATATAGTAATTTGACTGTTAAGAGGATAAAATGTGCATTGCTTAGAAGCACTCTAAAAAATTTAATAAACAGTGAAACCGGCTCCTTGGGAGGAAAATCCTGCACATAATTTGCTTTGCTTATTTTCTTTTTTCCAGAAATCTGCCATAAGCACAACAGCTAGGCTTAATGCGCAAGACCTCCTGCAACTCCATCAACTAACGGACAAGCTGTTCCTTTTAGCATCACAGAGAATTTGCTCTAATGATGCAGAGACTGAATGTTTACAAGTTCCCATTTAAACAACTATGCTGAGTGTTCCTTATTGCAGTGGGCGTGCACAAATCCAGACGCATACATTTCAGATTTGTTCTTGTGAATCACAGTCAAAATGCTCCAAATTAGCATGTCTCTAATAGACAGGAACACAAAAGCTTTTAATGAGTCTCTAAGGTCCTACACAATATATAAATCAGCCACTAATTGCAGCCGTTTCCATAATTTGTCCTTTGAGGACTTTGTGCATCGGCTGCATTGAAAAGCCACAGATTGGCATATGTTAGGAGCAGATAATTTAAACTTTTAACTGCAAAACATTAAAAAAAAGAAACTTGGAGACACGGCAACAGAAAAATGAAGCCAAAGGAAGCCACGTCACTACAAGCTATGACAGAAAACAATGTAAACAGGAGTAATGACAAACCATCACTTCTGTAT